CAGTGCAAAGTCTACTGTCCTACAGAAATGCCATGAATCAGAGAGAACCCTTCGTATTGTTGTCAGATACAATGTTTGGAATTTGTTACTGTGTCACTGAGTTATCTCATCCGCCGCTATTTCACTTAGCTGTTACAGCAATCCAAGAATTTAATGAATGGGTACCTTTAGTACTTCGCTGCTGTGGAAGCCATGCTATATGGATGGCAGATATTTGTTTTACACATTGTCTATAGTGAAATGAAACTTAGGCTAAAAGTCAGCTATCAACAGATCTAAATGTAAGTTCAGCAATCAGAGAAATGCGTAAAATAATCTAAACGACGCCACACAAACTTCAATAATGCACACAAACTCCAGTCAGAAGTCGCTCCGTTACATACTGACGCTTATGTTGGGCCTTTGGATTTTCAGAAAGGTGAGTGCTCACCGACAGGAATAATGTTTGACCATGTGGCACTGTATTGGCCAGTTAGAAAGGGTACAATCTGTAAAGAAAACCAAGACAAAGTAAATGAATATTTACTATATGACTGCAATCGAATAAAATCACTATTTTAAGGATGAAATGGGCAAAGCTAAACTTGAAGGCACGGAATAAAAATTATGAACTGCGCAATATTTTAGGTTAACAATTGCATTGCAACTGAACGAAATAGAAAAGGTATAACAGTAGCCGCATAAAAGTTCCACTGCGCTGAAAGAAAACTTGTTAGCGGTTAACAATGCTTTGCAAAAGTAGCTAGTGTATTTTCCTACGAAAGCTTCAACCAACGTAGGCTTTTATCTCTACAGCAAAAGTTTTTATGAATTAACGAATGAATTTGAATGTGAATACAATTATTGCTTTAATAGCAGTATGTGCAAATACGTTGCATTAATGAGATGGAGAAGAAACGTTTGTAATTGCTGATTTCTGTGTTTCTTGCGCTTTAGTAATTGGGTCATTCTACTACCTTTTTTTAACAAAATTAACAGAGTTGTGCTGATCTACATTTTTACGTCATCAGTCCGGGGTGCTTTATTTTTAAAAGGTAGAGTCCACGAAATGCATACCGCAAAATGTGCTGATTTCGTTTCACTCTGTGATATTCATTTACGGACCTCGAACAAAGGAAAGACGAATCAACCTTCCTGGAGCTCGAACCCGCGACCTTTTGATTTTGACGAAGACATGAGTTTCGTCAAAGAAACATAGCGGCAAAAATGATGGAACATACAAATACACGTTAAGCAGCAAGGTAATCGAGTATCCGTCTACGTTAACTATCCAGTTTCGAAATCTGCAGCTAAATTATCTGGACCTTTAACTAGACCATCTGTGTAAGTTATCAAATTCTCCCGCGGGTTTGCAAAGAACTGAAATTGATCAAATTCTCTAAAATAACATTAGATGATAATAATTAAGATGTAAATTACATATTTACTAATATACTTGATAACATTGCTATTAATATAATTAGTAAATTTATTTAGGGAAATAACTCACTTAGACAACGAACTAATGTCCTTGTTAACTTTATCGTAAAGCTAATGTACTGTCTGCGTGGTACAGGCGAATTACTCCTCTTTCAACGGTAGATTTTTTAAATACTCTAAAGGAGCACCCATCG